GATGCACTTGTTCCTAATAGCTTCTTGGTTTCTAATAGCTTCTTGTTCCTACCGCAGTAAGGCCAGGAGCCCCTAGTAGTGTCCTTGCTCCTAGGTACTCATGGGATCCTTGCTGAGATCTCCAGCATCTTCCATTTTGCTCCTAGGGCGACTCTTCGTTGAGGAGGTTTGGGCAGTCTGGGAGTCTGCGAGTTGAGATCCTTTCCCCTTTCAGCCGGCTCCTACTTAATTAAGTAGGGGAGTAGTTCGCTACTAGAAGATTCTTCTAGTAACTGGATGCAGGATAGCTCACGCTTCTTCAAGGAAGCTCCCCCCGCCTGAGGTCGGGGGAACTTCCTTGAAGAAGCGCTCGCACAAATGTTTTGGTTCCTAGATTTATAGGTCCACTTCTTGTCATGTGCATTTGTACCGCCCTGGAGGTGTACTATCAAGTTTTTGCACCTCGGCACCAGTCGCAGGGTGTGAAGGGTATGTGGGATCCGTTCTTTGACATCCTACCTTCGTTTCGTCTCTTCAAGTTCCCTAACCATTGAGATTGGCCTTGACTATTCGGCGAAGTACACCTATCGCTGAGAGTACTGAGGTGTACACTGCACCCATCGCCAAGACACAGGCTTGCGCCGATGTCGTGGACGTTCTGACGGGCGACTATATTTCTGCCAAATTGAAGGCGGACTGGTCGTCGACCACCCCTTTTTAGCCCGCATAGCCCGCTCCTCCCTTCCTACTTAATTAAGTAGGTGCCTACTTAATTGAGTAAGGGATTAAACATGCTGCTAGGCTAAGTTAGCGTCGGATAGCTCACACTTCCTTGAAGAAGCGCTCACACTATTCATTTGGCTGCTAGTTTTTATGGACACTTACTTGCATTGTTTGCTCCTTATGTCACCTTTAAAGCAGCACAACTCAACTGACATTTGTGCGCGGAGGGGATTTCGTTTCAGTCTGTCAGTTGGGCGAACGATGGCCTGCTGGGAGGTTGCAACTCTAGCTGACTGGTTCCCAGGTCTCTCCCCCACACCAGGGGTGACATAGGTTTTTGTACCAAGACTCTGACAGAAGATATCTCAGCACTAAGCTGGATTGCGGCCTCTCAGATCGCCTCCGCCAACGACACGCTGGCAGAGCAGCAGTTCCATTCCATTGTGGGTGCAGCGCATATGCGCCAGTGGTACAAATATCGAGCAGCCTACGCCATGATGGAGGACACGGGGGAGGAAGGGATGGATGTGGGAGCAGGCAAATCTGCAGAGCAAGCGCTCGCACTGACAAATGAGGTACGAGGAGGGAGAGGAAAAGAAAGGACAATGGCTGTTATCCGGTGGGTGTACAGTTTGCTTTGCCAGGAGCAAGAACGAGGTCAAGGTTGGAAGTATGACCTTGCACCTCGTGCAAAGAAACGGTCTGTCCGGTATGAACAAGGCAAAGCCTGTCTTGATCGCCCCAACATGGTTCATTGACAGTAAACCACACCGGGCTCAGAAATCCTCTACTCATTTGCGTGCAACACTATGAGGTTGCTGCTTTGCTCTTTCTGTGTGGTACGGTTCAAGACAGTGTTGATTCTACCTTGCCCAGATTCTGGTTAATATCAGGTTGGAGGCCATCGCTAGTAGGTAGGAGGCCATTGCTATAAGAATTTCTTTGTTTCAGATTCTACGTATCTCTCCTTGCGGTCACCGATCGCCGATCGCCCCGCCCCGCCCGGTGCAGAAAACCACACGGCAGACCCAGGTGCTGAAGGTTCGGAGCGACGTGGAGCTCTCCTCGCCATTGAGCCTGGCAGACTTCCCCGAGGTCTACTCCAACTGACGGGAAGTCTGCACAGGATGTTTCCAACTAAAGTCGAGTCGGGAACTGTACGGAAACGCTTCGGAAGAAATGGGTGGATGGTGAAAGACAGCAGAAGTTAGATCCAAGCAAATGCCCGTAAGGGTGTAAAGATTTTTGAACAGACTTTGGAATTTGGGCCAGGTAGCAAGAGCTCGTGTCATCTACAGTGCCGGAGACATCATGTTCTTCAGCAACCGTGAGGCCACCGTCATGTGCTTCGGGCACCCAGTGCTTGTAGCCGATACTTGTAGCCCACAGCGCTTTGGGCAGGTAGCCCACACGTTGTTTGACGACATCCTGGAGAAGATGGCAGCTCGAGCTGGCAATGAACGCAGGCAAGAGACGTCACCTAGAGTCACCAAGATCCAGAGTCACCAGTTGTGTAACTGGGTTCTTTTTCCGAGTCCAAATTCTAGAGACTTTCACAATTCATAGCATTTTGAGATGACAAAGCCACACACTTCATGCAGCCAAGGGTTTCCTCATGTTTCCTCTAACCAAAGGCCATGCCAGCCCTTTTCGCTGTGTGCAGGCTACTTCCCCTGAACTATGATCGAATCCTGCGGACTGGCGAAGGCAATGCCTTGCCCTTGCAGATCTTCCCGGATGTCGGGCCTGAGCTGCGGGACGCACTCTACAACAAGCTCTTGTTTCCTCATCAGCGTCAAGGCAGCTGCGATGAGTTGAGATGGGGAGAGGGGAACAGGCTTCAAGAGAGCTGAGGAGAAGGACATTTTTTAGAACAGGTGCAAGATCTTTGGCCTCAGATCCCAACAGTATCAACTTGGCTGTGTTTGGTTTGCATTGGTGGTCCATGTGAATTAGGCCACTCCACCGTGGGTCCGCAGGTATGTTGCTCTCGACCATTCGGAAGCATCGTTCTGCGCTGGAAGCTGCACACCTTCGAGCGTCCCAAGGAGTGGCAGCAGGGCACCCCAGAGCGTCCCAGAGATTGAGGGTTGCGAGTGGCTCAAGTGGTCGCGAAACCATCTTAGCTGGGCCTTCCTGGTCTCATGATGTCTCATGCAAGGGCCATCAACATTTGCTTTGGATGGCGTTGAAGTTAGTAAGAAGCATCATATATTTAGAACTTGATATATAAGCCATCGAAATGGGGTGAGAGTTTGCATGGTGACCTTGACAAGAGGGAAGGCTCCTTTGCTCAAGCTTCCGGTTGTCCTTCTTACTTTGAGGGCCATTCTGTCGATTCCTATTTGAATTTGGTCTATGCTGGTGCGCAGGTGCCCACTGTTTCCGGGCATTGGAGGTGGGAATTCGGGGAGCCTTGCAGATGACTGCTCAGATGACTTGCATTGAAGTCTTCAAACCGTTTGGTTGCACATAGTGGCCCCTGACAAGATAAGAAACACTCACCAAGATATTGTCAGATAAGCCACATCATATATAGTATAGCTGATATCGATTGATATCGCGTATAGCCGTATAACACAGGGTAGTAGATGATATTGATCATATCACATCGTATTTTTAATACACATATCATATCAATCCAATGCCCTTCAAAGGCAGCTATAAGATATACACCTTGAGCTAGTTTGATGTGGCCGGAAGGTTCCGCAACGACACCAAGCAATTCCAGTACTGGAAGAAGGTGAACCGCGTACCACGTGATCATGAGATGTGCTCGATGAGGCAAAGAAGGGCAAAGAAAGACTTGCTTCCATCAGTAATATCAGTAGCACTTGGGTGCTTATTTGTTTAGATTGGGAAGGCTCCGCTCAGTTCCAATATGTTGAGCACGGAAAAATGCCGACACTGCGTTGAAGGCATTGGTTCTATCACGTTCATCGTGCTGAACCAGAAGTTCTCATGAAAGCTTGGACACAGCCAAAGCCGCAACTGTCCAAGACTAGGCAGGGCATGCGACTGTTAGTGTGCTCCATGATGCGATTGCATGTTTAGATTCAGAGGATCTCACTAAAGTTTGACTCCCAAGCCCGATGGTGCAATGCAGTGTGGATGATGGAGTGTGGGCGACCGGATTGAGTTGTGTTGGTTGCACGAGGCACTATCAGCACTGCAACTGTGAGCCCCCAGTGCCTCGCACTCAGACCGAAGACACGAGACACGAAGACCGAAGACGTGTGTATCAGTGATAACATCAGTGATATTCTTCCAGGCCAGCTTTGGTCATTCCAAGGTGCATCCCAGATGGATGGCCCACGCCATGGCCAGAGGTCAAGCAGCGACCACCGCCATGAAAAAGGGATCAAAAGGTGCGTGTGTGAGAGCAGCCGCGATGGTTGTATCATTCTGTGGACTTACTGCCAACCGATGCCACCTACGGATACCTAAGGCATGAAAGATACAAGCATGGCCCAGCCCAGCACATGACATGGGCGATTTTGCTTGGTCTTTTCGTGCAGGCCTGACCCGAGACGGGCTTGAAGAAGTCATTTACACAGGCAGGAGATTGCGGCTAGTAGCAAGGGCATCGCTACTAGTAGCTCCTGGCATTACTACTAGTAGCATGAAGCTACTAGTAACAAAGGGCATCGCTACTACGAGAAAGGACGTTACTGGTAGCTCCTGGCGGGAAGAAGTCATTTACAGCTCCGGCTAAAGCTCGCCGTTGCAGGACAAAGCGAAAGAGCTTGGATGCTACCAGCTCCTCAGATCCGGGGCATGGTGGTCTGACTTTGCCGATTATTTATATAATTAGATTTCTGTGCAAGCATGGCCGGTGAACACATCAACAACACATGAAAAGTTGTTGTATTGTAGAGGGTTGCGTTTGCTTTGATCAAACACGTGTTCACTCTCGGCCAGATGAAACCTGTGGTATTCCACAGGTTTTATGCAGCCAAAGTTTGTTGCCATATGGACGCCAATGCCAACAGAAGAGCTGTGCTGCCAGGGTTGGTGCAGTGGTCTTCACTCCGATCGAATCGCTTGTTTTCCTGTCGCTTGAGTTAGTGTTGTTATAAATGCTGCATGGGATGGCTTGGGGTTGTGAGGAACCCGTGACAAGCCTTGACGGTGGTTTCAGCGGTTTCGCGGCTTCCCTTGACAGCGTTTGATCACACGGTCACGTGCAACAATTGCCTCTTGGCTGCGTTGAAGGTCTCATCATATGCATCATTCTGCTTGTGGTCGCTGTCCTGGCGGCGATGTATGTGAGACGGAAGCGGCAGATGGCTGCGGCACGAAACCAAGAGGTCAGCACACCACAGCTGGAGCTGCGTGTTACTTGAGGCAGATATTGAAAGCTGACTGTGACCATGACTAGAGGGGTTAGGTTTTGTTTGTCACAAGACTGGCAACATACCCATACCAAGCGGATGAATGGACGGAAAGAGCTTCTTTTCTAGGTGAAAGTATAATCTGAAACAATGTTCGCACGCTAGATCCTGTAAGCCGCGTCAGGCTCCTCCTTTCTTATACATACAGAGCTGGAAAGTTGCAACACTCATAGTGAGTAGCTCGGGGCTCATTCGATCATTCGAATCATTTTCTCACGGCTGTCCCAACACAACCTGAAAGGAATCTTGGAGGGAACTGATTGAAAGACACCTCCGTAGTTTCCGCATTCATGTTTTCAAGAACATGAGGTTGACAAGATCAGTTAAGCCAAGCTGGTTTCGCTCCGCTTGGCGGTCCCAGGCTCGCGAGGTGGAAGAACCCTTCAGCCAAGCCTGATTTAATGCTTGTTTCGGGTGCTCATTCTGGTGGCTTTAGAGGAAGCGCATGTCTCACACCTGGGATCAGTTCCAAGACATGAAGAATTCATCGACCAATCAGAAACAAGAAGCTAGTAGTAACAGGTGCCTTACTACTAGTAACAAGAAGCTACTAGGAGCAAAGAAGCTAGTAGAAACAAGTGCATCGCTACTAGTAACAAGTGCCTTACTACTAGGAACAAGGTTCGCTACTAGGGGCTCCTGGCATCGCTACTAGGAGCAAAGGGCATCGCTACTACGAGCAAAAACGCTACTAGGGGCTCCTGGCCTTACTACTAGGAACAAGGTTCGCTACTAGGAGCAAAGGGCTGGAGAACATTGGCGATGACCTCAACCCATTTGCCCCCTTTGACACCCAACGCTGAAGCCACCAGAAGCGAACACCTCTTTTCAAGGTCTCACTGAGTACTATTGATGGAGGAACACCTAGACCTCATGCACCGAACATGTGCTTGTCATTGGCTGCTGCCATCGTGCACAGCTTGGCACAAGCAGATATTCAAAATGCAAGAGGTTCAGGACTTTCTCCATCAAGGGTCACTTACATAGATCTTTTGCATATTTTGCGTTAATGGTTTGACGCTGCTTTGGGGGGCCTTGAATTGTACACCAGGATCCTAAAGCCTGAGTAACCATACACTTCTCATTCTGGCAACATTAGTTTTCTTGGTCCACCTGCAGTAGAGCTGTCTTCGGACACTTGTAAATGCCAAGGCTGGGTCCTCAGTGGTCTTGCAGCCGTGGTGGAAGCGGACGGCGTTGACAACTATTGCACACTGCCTTTGTGGGTTTGTTTCTCAGCTTCCCTCACCTTCAAAGGTTATAGCCTCGTGGCGGATTGTTGCACAGGACAAAAGTGACCCAATTTGTCACAGCTCTGGGTGTTTTGCTGGCTGCCAGCTAGCAACAGAGAAAAGAACGGCAGCTCTGGTTTCACACATATAT